CCGTATCTGAGATTGGCGAGGGCAGGTGTCGGACTTCGCCGCCACTCTGGCGGGAGAGTTTTGGAAGGGCTAATGGTCGGCGGTGGACACGCTTCCCTAGGACTGAAACTGACGGATTCGGATTCGCAAAAATGACGGCCGCGACGCCCTCTCGCGAATCGAAAACGGCCAATTCGCTGATCGACGTGTCAGGAAAGGAGGTCTATCAACCTCCGGATTTAAGAAGGAGCGGACATCACCACGCCACAGCAAATCCGTGGAGGGATCACGAGCACACTGCTGCAAGAACACCTCTTGAGATGATAGAGGCCTCCTAAATGGGGTCGGAGTAGATGTGATTGGAGGATCGCGCCGCATCGCCGATACATCGGCGAAGCATCGGCAATGCATCGGCCATGCACTAACGACGTCGGCGATGCATCGGCGACGTTGGCAAGGATAAGCTTTGGCCCCACATCGAGCAACATCGCTGATGCATCGGCGATGCATCGGCGATGCGGCGCGATCCTCCGACCCCATCAACTCCGACCCCATCTAGGAGGTCTAGAAAATGATGGCCAGGCAACCACCGCGGAAGCACGAAGAGACCCAAACATCGGGAGGGTAGGAACATCAGGCGGAGAGGACAGAGACGCGGGGAAGGCTAATGGGGCCAGGAATAAGGACAGCAAGCAGCAGCAGCAGAAAGAAGGCGAGGATTTCGCAGCCCTAAACAACCACTTTTCTAGACCTGGTTGAACCTGCCCAACACTTATCTCTAACACCTCTCTAGAGCTGCTTGAGCCCGCCCTGCACCTATCTAAAACTGCTCATCAAAACACATCTCCCGCTGCACGCAAGAGTAACCCTGGGCAGGAGTGACCTTTGGGTGCGCGGCTGAACGGGGGACGCGGGGTGGCCAAACCAGGTTCGCGCACGCTGCTGCTACCGCTTCCCATTCAGCGATCGGGGGGCCCCAGTGCGCCAGCATCAAACTCTGAGATCCGATGTCCTGCTTTGTTGGATACGGGGTCCCCGGAAGCCTCGACCCGTTCACTAAGACCGGTTTTTTATCCGGGCTCATTTTTTGACGGTCCCAATTATAAGGGCCCCTGCAGGCCGAGAACGCGCCGCGCCAGCAGCGGGATCCTCGCTCCTGCCCCCTACTCGAGCGTCGTCGTCGTCGTCGTCGCTCCTCGATCGTCGTCGATCTTCGATCGTCAATGGTCGTGGTCGTGGGTCGTGGCCGTGGGCGTCGGGGTGGTGGTCGTCGTCCTCGGCGCCCAAGCCTCAGAATTCGACCCACGGACTCGTCCACTGTCCAGCGGCGCATGCTGGCCGCAGCGACGAGGCGAATCCAGCCGCTGCGGCGAGGGGCGCAGCCGAAGCCTCGACTTTTTCAGTACGAGGTCACCGGAAATCCCCAACCCTTTCCCGAAGTAGATTGTTCTATCCTTCCACGTGCCTTGAAGGTGGGACAGGCGAGACAGGCCACGTTCAGTCGAGACGCTGAAACAACGGCCACTTTAGGGTCAAGGAGGGGCTCTGGTTTTCGGCCGTGCCCCAAACCTGAGCCGGTGAGCCTCTTCATGGCCGAGGCTCGCCGTGGCCAGAAGAGCCCCTTCGTTCCTGATTCATTCGTTCACATCATCGGCGCCGATAGTTCGAGTGAGCACAGCTCGCTGAGAAAAAGGGTGCAACTCAGAATTCTGAACAACGGTGCGGTGTCCCTGCCCTTCTGGCGGTCCAAGAGTCCCCACTCCTTGTGGGTGGACTCGCTTCTTATGGTTGGTGCCTCCGGCGCCAGAAGCCGAGAGGCCTGCCGCATGCGGCGGATGCGGCAGGACGTGCCCGATCTAAGGGCCGCACGCGCGCATGAGGCCCTTAGGTCGGGCACGTCCTCCTACACGCGGATGTCTTGGAGGAAAGAACACAACCAAAAAGTACTCCAGCATAGTCAAACAATGAAACACACATACTGGTAACATCATCCCCGGACTAGCTTTGTACCATTCTCGAGTCCTCCTCCCGTAGAGGGACCTGCCCGACTTGATGCTATCCCCCCGATGCGTCCCCGAAGGGCTCCCCTGGGCGCAGTCCGGGGGCCGCCCGCGTGGCCCGCTCTCCTTGAAGTGCGCCGTCGCCGCCCATTTCGGTTGTAAGACAAGCTGTCCCCCCTCCTCCACCTCCTCCTCCTCCTCCTCCTCCTGCCGCCTTCTCCTGCCGCCCCTTCCTCCTCCTCCTCCTCCTCCTCCTCCTCCTCTCCTCCTCCTCCTCCCCTCCTCCTCCTCCTCCTCCTCCTCCCCTCCTCCCTCCTCCTCCCCCTCTCCTCCTCCTCCTCCTCCTCCTCCTCCTCCTCCTCCTCCTCCTCCTACTCCTTGATGTGCCCCTCGGGCGGGCGAGTCCTCCTTGAAGTGCGCCGTCGCCGCCCAGAAGCCCAGGCGCGCGCGCGCCTGGGCGGGAGGCGCTCACCAAGGGCTCCCAACTCCGCGCTTCGCGCTGCGCGAAGCGCGACGTGCGAATAACTCCGCGCTCTCGCGCCGCCTCCCAGGGGAGAAGAGGCGGATGAGGAATCGGAGCCGAACCGCGAAGCGCGAAGAGCTTCGCGCCCTCGAGGGCGCCCCTGCTCACGTATACGCGTTGCCCGACGGTGCCGACGCCGACTTCGGCGGCAACTCCTGGGAGCCTCTCATACCATCTGGCTCTCTCTTGCGAGTCGACGACGCTGACGCCGACTTCGGTGGCAACTCATGGGAGCCTCCCAGACCATCTCGCTTGCTCTTGCGAATCGGCGCTGCATCGGCGCTGAAGCGACGCTGGCTCATCGACTGCCAGACGCGAATCGACGCCACAAGCGGAACGGTGATGGTTTACAATAGGAATCAAAACACGACATAAACATACACTTTCGGTGCTCCGCGTGGATTTCGTGGATCTGCGCTGGACCCCCCCTCCCTAGCGCGCGGAGCGCGCCACGGGCGGCGCCGGAAGCGCCGCCGGGGGGGGCCAGCGCAGATCCAAGAAATCCGCGCGGAGCGCCAAGAGTTTATGTTTATGGAGTTTTCTCTTCTCCGATGAGCGACGCTAGAGGCGGAGTAGCGAGGGCCGACAGGCCTCCCGAAACCGACAATGGATGCCGCAAGACGACTACGGCGACGGCGGCCTGGGACCCCCTGCACGCCGCGCCGGAGATCGCGGCGGGGACTGCCCGCCAGATCGTCTCGGCCCCTCAGAGAGCCGAGCCACAAGCCAGGACGCCGGGAGTCTGGGGACGAGGAACCTTGATTAGCAATGGAAAAAGACCCGTCATCCTTTGGGAGGGGACCTAAGTTAGGAGGGCAACAAAAACATTAGGGATAGGGAGTCTTTTCCGCAGATGTATCAGACCAAACTGCCCAGATTTATCATCCCAAGTGCAAAGACGGGGATCTCAGTGAGGCTACGTCTTCATCGTCTGATCAGAGTTAGGGGCTCCCTGATCGTCGATGAAATCTTGCGGCGCGCTCGGGGAGGGGGCAGGCGGAGGGGGGGCAAAAGGCTCTCTAGCAGGCGCTGACCCTGCATCGAAAGCCAAGGCCCGCGCTTTCTGAGGAGCAGCCTCCCTCCGGTGAGCCCTCCCCCCTCCCCCTGGCTGGCTCTGAGCGTGAGGAGGAAGAGGAGGAGGAGCAGGAGGAGGAAGAGGGGGAGGAGGACGAGGAGGATGAGGAGGAGGAGGAGGAGGAGGAGAAGGAGGGCAAGGGGGAGGAGGAGGAGGACCAGGAGTCCGGAGGAGGCGGCGGCGGCGGAGGAGGAGGAGCAGAGCGGCCTGCTCGGGAATGCCCGGACAGGCCGCCTGCAGCTCTGCCTGGAAGAGGTCGGGCAAAGGTCGCCACCCCGGCGAATGACACGGAGGTCGGGGCCACGGCCGGTCTCGAGACGATCTGCCCCCTGCGGAAAGGGGGGGTCCGTGGATGTGGATGTCGGCTTTTGGTTGTGGCGCGTGGCTGACGATGCCGACGACGTGCTTACCTTCTGGGACGCTCTTCCCGTCTTCTGGGGTTCGCCGTGTCCATGTCCCCGGCTAGGCGCGGCTCTCGGAACAAAAAAAACAAACAAACAGGGGTAGCCCCCTGAGAGGGGTCGGGGGGGTCCGAGAAGGCCTGTTGCGAGCGGGGGTCCCAACCCAGCGGCGGCGGACGGCGGGGACGACGGGCGGGGATGCGGGGAGGACGAAACCCTGAAGTCTATGAGTTAAATCACCCATTTCTGGTATGACGCAAATTTCAAACATTGGCGGGGAGGCGCGTGGTGCCTCCTGTGAAATGTCGGTCAGGCGTATGGTGCCCCGGTCTGGATGTTTGGGGGGACCTATGATGTCCCACCTTGCCCACCCCGTCCTGCACACGAGGAATCCATCACCCTCTTTGTCGGACCTGCCATACACCCCCCGCCCCTACCCCCAAACCCAGCCCCGTCTGGAGAAATTCGCCCCCCGAACCGTGTGGTGACGGACCGTGCGGTGACCGCGGAATCCTGAACGACCTCACCGCGCGGTCCGTCGCCGCATAATTTTAGGACCCTGGATGCTGGAGGCCCCAATCCCCCGAGATGTCCCCACAGTTCGATTCGAATTCCTTGACCTTGCGGTGACGCCGAATCCCCCCCAACCCCCCCGAATTGTTACCGCACCGTGCGTGGGCCCGAACGATCCGATGCCCTATTTTGTGTACGCTCGGCAACTGGAAATCCTGACCCTTTTCCCGCGGCCACCCCACCCCGCGCTGACATGTTCAAAGCAACCAAGATACTGCCACAAGGAATGCTGAATAAGGAACGACGCAAATTTTTCGGCCAGAAGGCGACTGGGTTCACAGGGAGCGCTAGAGGCACAGCCATTGAAGGACCCAAGGAACAGAGAACCCATACCGGCACATAGCTGCTCCATACTTCAAGGCCTTGATTGCACATTGGGGAGCTGGGTCGTCTCTGCCGCCGCTGTCATCTGCCGCCCCAGGCCTCTTTGCCGCCTGCGGCGTCGCCAGTCACCTCCGGGGGCTCCGGCGCGAACCGCAGCGCCCGAAGGAGTGGGGGGGTTGCTTGCGGGGGGGGTGGGCGGGCGCGGCGTGGACCAGGGTGTGTTGGAAAGGGGGAACGGCGATGGGGTAGGGACGAGAAACAACAAAGGGGCCAACAGTGGATGGGAGAAACGGGCGGGGCGGCGGGGGAAGCAAGTGCGAAGAATTACTGGGGGTGGCGGACGGGCATAGGACAAAAGAAAACGAAAGGGCGGTGGAGCGAAGAGGGCTGACGAAGAGAAACTGGGATACAACATAATGGAAATAACAAGTGGGTATGACGAATAATGCGGAGCAATTGTGGTCGGAAAAATGAATGGTCCTCATGGGTCCAACCGAAAGCACTCACATAATATATTACCACATATAGATCGACTGTACATGTTTTTATGTTTACACATCTGCATACAACGATACAGACACATACATGTGCATAGGCATATGCATAGTCAGATGCATATGCGTACGCATGTACATATGTAATTACATTTACATTTGCATAAACATACGTTCACAAGTATGCACAGGTGTTGATGTAGTGTATGAATCATTATATATACACGTCCCGCAACAATAACATCTGTCTGACAGTAATGGAACGGGAGAGAATAAGAGAAAACGAAAGGGAGAGAGGGGGAGACAGAACAACACAAAACGAGATAACGAGACAGAAAGAGAGAGAGAGAGAGAGAGAGAGAGAACAAAAAAAAAAAAAAAAAAACGAGAGAGAGAGAGAGAGAGAACCTCGCTGTCGGCGCACTTGTGGGCACTAAAATTCGGCACCCGCGAACCGACCCGAACACGTGCAAGGTCCACGCCTTTTTCATGGTTCGCTCATAGGTTTCGCATTTTGGGCTGACCAGTTTTTCATGAAAAGGTATGTTTGCGAGTTGGAACACAGAGTGTCGAACTTCGCAACAGGCACAAGCAACAACTATATGTCACACCGATAGCAACCATAACTCTACACGTCTATAACGCGATAAATGATGTAACACTTGCGCACGTACATTTATGCGCAGATCTCCTTACCCACCAAAAAAATATGTTCCAAATGTGTTACAGCAGCCGCTGGACTAGAGTTCGATTTGAACTGTGCCTTCTCATACAAAACGGACCTGGCCAGCTCCATACTGAGTTCGCGGAGTTGCGCGCGCCACGCCCCATCCTTGCCGCAAATGTCGGCGCGCTGGGGACCCTTTGTGCACTTTCAACGGGCAAGCGGGCGCCCACGCAGAGGAAATGGCCCCGAAGTAACGACGACGATCGCGACTACAATCAAAATGGGAAATGAAGACGCACGCTTGGGACGCGTGCCCCTCGCGCGCCCGCGCCGCGGTAACCATCGCGGGGGCGGCCGACAGAACTCGCTGAGAGCGGGCGGAAGAGGGCGCGGGGCTACCAGAGGGATGGCCGCGCATCCCCGTCGTCAGTTCCCGTTCGGCTGCGCGACGACGGCGGCGGGGCGGCGGCGTCTCGCGCGCCGCCGACGACGGCGACGACGCGGGCTGCTCAGAGGAGGGGAGAATCGGGGAGCGTCGAACGCCCCTTCGCCGATTTTGGCCGGGCCGATCTCTCGCGCGGGATCGTTCCAGGCTGGGCCGACGGTTGCCGCGGGTCGGCATTCGCAGCGGGGGCGCGGCTAGGCGCGCAGAAGGGCAGACGCGGCGACTGCGTCGCTGGCCGAAGGGTCGCCGAAGAGCCCGGCGCAGCCCGCCGACGTCTCGGGGCCAGTCTTCGTGCCCCGCGGGGGGGCCCGCGAGCAGACTGCTCGCGCAGCCGTTGGCCATCGGCCCCCGCGCGCGCGTCTAGCAGGCGAACGGCGGGCGATAAGGCGGCGACCCACCCCGCGGGGAACTGGCCGAGATGCCGCCGGCAAACGCCCGCGGGTGTGCCGTCTCCAAGGGCGACGGCGCGCTGCCGAGCCCTGCGCCCAACGTCGGGATGTTTTGCCGATCGCGCGTGGGTCTGCGGCTAGCGCCGGGATGCCGGCAGCCGCCGCGGGGCTGCGAGCTGTTACCGGAGGTCGCCCAAGTGGGCCGCGGCGGGCGGGGTCGGCGGCCCGCGGCGCGCAGCTCGCGCCGCGCGTGAGCCCGCGACTGCGGCCACTCTGCCTCCACTTGCGCGGCCAGGGTCGGAATCTTTTGGCGCCTGCGGGGCGTGGCCGCGGGCCGCGGCGGCGCCGTCGTTCGCGCGGAGGGCCAGATGGGCACGCTCCGCGGCCGCGCGGGCGTAGCGCCGCCCGCGCCGCGACGCGCGCAGGCGCCGCGCCGCCGGCGGGCGGCCCCGATGGGCGGCGGGGGCCTCGCCCTCGACGTTGCGCGTCGCGGCCAAAAAGCGATCTTGAACGGCGCGATGCCGCCAAACCCGGCCACGGGCGCGCAGGGTGGGTCGCCCTGGCCGCCGCCGCCCCCAGGGCGCGGACATCTGCCGCCGGCCGCGGCGTCTATCCCGAGCAGGAATGCGCGGGGAAGTGCGTCGACGACCCGCGCGTGGGCCGCGCCCGCGGGCGCCGCGGCCACGTTGCGCCGGCCGCAATTTTTCGCGCGCGGCAGGTCGAGGCGGGCGCCCGAGCCGTGCCGCGCGCAGCGACGCGCGAGGAAAATGTGCGTTGACCGCGACGACAGATTCGCCCCTCTGTCTTGCGCGTCAGACAGAGGCCTCACAGCGCACGACGCAAGTGTGGGAATCCACCGTTGCCGCTGTACGTTTCCATGTTTGCCACGAGCCGAGCGCCGACATTGCCTCCGGTTTCAAGTCCCCCCATATGTGCCCGCGGCCGACGACGCCGGGGCAGGATGCGGCAATCCCGCGCGCCGCTTTGGCCCGGCGCTGGCGCCCTGGTCGCGCGCGCATCCGACTGCGCGTCGCCCGACCAGGGCGCAAAGCTGACGCGGCTGGAAATTACAAGCAACTGGCCCATCGATGAACCGTCGACCCCCCCCCGTTCGAGCAGCCAGCCGCGCTGGCACCAAGTCGCATCAATCAAACCATCGCCGCTTCTGCGCGGCACGTCGCGGACGCAAGCCCCCGCGCGGCGCTCCGCGAAGGCCCGCGACGGAGAAGGAGAGGGGCGCGCGAGGGCGAGCGGGGCGATGGAGAAGAGAAACAAACACGCTGGGGCAGGCTGATCGGGAGAGACGGAGGGGGGGGGCAGAGCCGCGCGACGAACCGAGCGGGCGGAAGGCCGCGCCGCGGCCGAGGCGGCAGCGCCGCAGCCTGAACCGCAAAGCAACCGCGGTCGCCAAGCCGGCCAGGGGCCCCGGGACTCCAGGGCGCGCCCAGCAAGCGCACCCCGCAAGGGCTCGCAAGGCCGCGCGCCGACGGGCCCGCGCGGCGCCGTTTTTCCCAAGCCAAGCCAACGAATGCAGAGGGGCACCGACGATGACGATGACGATGGCGGCGGCGACGGGCGCGACTGCGTCGAGGGCGGCGGCGGCGTCGGCGGCTGCGATGGGGGGCGGCGGCGGCGATTGCGAGGCAGGCGACGAGAGATGCGGGATGTCGCACGCGAGGCCCTCTGGGCACCGCTGTCGTTCTGCCCCCCCCCCCGCCCCATCGCGCTGCGCCCCCAACTCCTCGGTCGGAGGGCCACTGGGCGCACGCGTTGCTCGTGGGCATGCTCGGCCAAGGGCGGCGCGCCCACCCGCCCCGCCCCCGCCTCTCGCGGCCCGCTGTCTCGCCCCCCGCCCCCGCCCAGGCGCGATCGGGGCCCGGCGCCATAATGCATTCCCCCGCGCAACCAGTCGCGCGCGACGAGGGGGCAGCGCGCCGCGCCATCGGAAACCCTTCGGCAAACGCGGGCGCATGACGCGCGGGCGTTCGCGCCGCGGGCACGCGCGCGCCCGCGAGCGCGCGCCGCCGCGCGCGACTCTCCGATGGGGGCGTCGCCCAACGAGCTCCTGAATTCTTCCTCTTGGCATTCCCAATTGTTCGCGCGTGTTCTCTTCGCGAACAACGCGCGTGCCCCGCGCGCGGATCGCGTTGCTGTGTCCCGCCGCTGCAGCGCATGTTTCAGCGCTTCGAACATCCGGCGTTCGAGATAAGATTGGCCCCGACGACTTGGCGCGAAATCTATTGAAACAATTGCAGTCCACTGGTCCGCTGCGCGGTTCAGAAATAAACGCGCGGGCGCTCCGACTGACCGCGAGCCCCCAATCGATGCTCGCGCGCGTTGCCCCGCCTTTCTCGCGCGGGCGCCCGCGACGTTGCGGGGGGGCGCAAACTGCGACAAAACCATCGCTGGCCGAGCGAACGCTGGGCGAGCCCGTTGCGCGAGCTCCGCGGACCTATGCAGAAGACGACAACACGCGGGCAGCGCTCGCGATGGCGACGGCGGCGTTGACGGCGCTGGGAGCTGCAGTCGCTCTGGCGCGGCAAGCGCTGGCGAGGGCGAGGCGATTGCAACATTGACGCTCCTGTGCTGCTGCTGCCCCGGCGGCCGAATCGGGCGCGGGGCGACTCGGGCGCCGACGCTAGTCCGCCAATGCATGGCGGCCTGGCCGCGGACCAACGACAACGACGTCAGCGGCGAACCGGCGGGCGGCCGGGGGGGCGCACGGGGCTCCAAGTTTTTTGCTTACCGATTGTTTCGAAGCGCAAGGAAGGCGCGACGGGGTCGAGCTCCTGCGCGCGCGGGGCGCGGGGCGACCGCGGCGCGGGCGCCGCGGGCGCCAGTCGGAGCGCGGCGGAGGGGGCGCTCAAGAGCGGCCGCTCTGAGCGCTCAGCGGCAGCTGAAACGGAAGGGAATCGGAGGAATACCGCGCGAAAATAAACGCGCGCACTGGCGAAGGACAGGCGCTGGGCGGGGCGCCGGCGCGCGGGGGCCATGGCTGACGCCGCCGTTCGACATCTCGCCTACCGGCGGCCATCGGGGTGGGCGGCGGGCCATGGAGGCCCGCGCGCGCATGAGAAATGGCCGAGGGGGGGGGGGGGGGGGGTGGCGCGGCGGCCAGCCCGGCCGGGCGCGGG